CGAAATGTTTTTTCCTTTGACCCGACCCGAATCAATATTTTTTACTTTAACCCGCACCCGACCCGACCCGAACCAATATTTTTTACATTGACCCGAGCCCGACCCGAGACAATCGGATCCGACCCGACCCGTTTCGGTCTCTGCTACTTACTATAGATCTGGAAAATATAAGTCTAGTATGTTAATCCGACGTTGAGATATGAAACCCGTAAAGTGAGAAACAGGAAAAATTAATGGAAAGTCTCAGCTTTTATTTCACAAAATTTCGGCCGTTACATTTGTATCAAGGGCATTTGAAGCACCTACAACTGTAAGGAATGCTATATGATGAATTTGTCTCGCGTTGCAATTTTAGTTGAATAAGGAAACATGCGGCAATCACCGGTAGTTGTGTTATTTGTTGGCTTATTTTTAATTGGACTAATAGCAATTAATCAATGTGCAAATGACGGTTATGGATTCGACAATGATGAGGTTCTCTCCGAACGAGACGCTCTGGGTGATCTTCAAGCGCGTAGTTGCCCCACATGCCGGAAAAGAGAGCAGCTTCTGTCCGCACTACATGCTGAAAAGTTTTTCTTTCATATATGTTGTTCACAGCTCAGAAAAGGTGTAGTTTTATTCGTTTATTCTACTTTATTGTCTCTCTAAACTACAATTGTATATAACGAGAATGCCAGGTAACAGAACGTGGTACGTGTTCGTCAAATTTAAATGTTTATCATTATTGATCAGCTAATGGATAAAACGTCGGTTCAGCAGTATAACGTCCACCGCAGGTAATACCAGCTATCAACTGTTGTCCAACATCAAATAAACACCATTCACGTTTATCTGGACCAATCCATTTTAATTTCTTTTCATTTTCATTATAGATAAATGTGGCAATATTTTCTCGTTGATCATCACATGATATTGTATACATTGTATGAGTATCGAAACCAAATTTCAAGGAACCTATTGTTACACATTTATTACCATGATAAACATGTTGATCAGTTAACGAATATGTAAATAATGACATATTATTATGACAAAATTCCATAGATGTTTGTCTTGTCACAGCAGGGAAATATACATTTCCTAGAAAAGAAATTTAGATAATTTTGACCATTTATTGTTTATCAAATTCAATCCAGATCTGTCGCACTAATACAATAGTGAGAGAGAAAGAGGACTACTTTCTACATTTTGTAAATCCCTCTGAGACATTATGACGGTCGTTTAGCGTCGGTCAATTGTTAACTGCCTTTCAGAGACTCTTGTTCCCTTGACTGTAGGTCTTGGATCATATAACATACAATATCCATCTAATTGCTTGTCCGTGCGCCAGAACATCTAAGTTCAGACGTCACTTTAACGTGAAAAACTTAAAAATCACGGAAATGGCAGATGACGCCAAAGTTCCATTACGAATATTCTCTGTAATAGCCTTCCTTTTTCTTTGTTGTTTACGTATTGAGAAAGTACGTAAACGAAGTGAGTTTAATTTCAGTTGCCAAAACCAGCTGTCATTGGTAGTCCTCTCTGGCACTGGAGCAGCTCCAGAGACGATACTAGCTTGAGTAGGGAAACGTTTTGAGCTAGACCCTAAAGACTGGAAGGAAGACGCGTCTATGGGCGTGTTGCATGAGAAATTGACGCCGTGAAGGGCCGAAGAGATGTTAATAAAGCCTGGCGCTCTGGGTTTTCAAACTATGCTCTTTCTAATTACCAAGTCGAAATAACACTAACGCTACTACAACTACAGTCTCGAAACAGCCATGGTTTCGAAGGTATGATGGTGGAGCAAGCGTTTCGAAAAACTAGCTTAGGCGATATGATTTTTCGAGACGACTGGTGTCTCCGAAATTCTTTGGGTATGTTATGTCAGGAATCTCCTGACATAAGAATATTCTCTTTCTTCTTATCTTTTTCGTCTCTCTTCTGTTTACCATTGTATCACGTTATCATCAATCCTTGTTTTTCGACTTTTCTTCTATATAAGGAATATGTATTATTTGAAGGACGAGTGTATTTTGGTTTTATAAAAAAAGAAGTTAAGTAACCTAACCGGCTATTGCTTGAAAAATCATCGAAATCCGATTCTGAGATTAAATTCTAAAAACTGAAATTTCACCTTTTCGTGAAACTTGAATTTTGACTGCACAACTTGAATTGTAGATACTTCAAGTTCATCGTCCGAAAGAATGTGAAAAACTGAACAAACATAGAGATTTGTTACAAAATAACACCAGCTTTTAGAGTATTTCTAAGAGCATACGCTTCAAAGTTTAGGTTTTCATTTCAAACAACTAAATCACCTCTCTTGCACAGAATGCCTTTACGACTTTATGTAGGTGGAAAACATCGAAACGAATGTCATGAATAATACAACTCTGCCTGTAGAATTGAAATTCTGCAATGGTTACCAGAAGTTCTCTTTCAAAACAGGCCTCACTTTTCTAACTAAAGTTTAGCAAACCCCTATATTTGTTCAGTTTTTCACACTCTTATCAATGGTTAACTTGAAAAAGACTAGCGTAGTCGATATGATATTTCGAGACGACCGGTGTCACAACATTGCATGCTCGAAAGAAATTTACATGAACCTTTCTCTTTTTTCTATTGATTTACATAAACTTTTGTTTCGAACAGTTCTTTTGCGTTGATATTTATGAGCGATTAAAGGTCAACTAACATCAGTGGAGAAGAAGGAAAAAATATTTATATTATTATCAGAATCGAAGGTTTCAAAGTATAGGCCAATCACCTTTGAAGCCAATAAGGGTGTCGAAAACATTTCATCAACTAACCTGAATCTTTTAAACACTTGCTCCCATCATCGTACCGTCCAAAATCCATCGCTTTATAAAAGGGGTCATTTTAATTTATTTCCAATTATCCATAAGAACAGCCTCAAATGTCAGGTTTCTCTATTGATCATTTCCAGCCGTTGTGGAATCAAGTTAGACGAACTCTGTCATGCAACGCGCTGTGAAGAATGTTGCTATTCCTCCATTGTTTTCTCATCCTTTTCATACACCTCTTGGTTCCTCTCATAGATAGCATATCTCTCTTCCACAGTTCATGACCTCTTGTCTCGCTCCGCTGCTCTACAGCTTTCGCTGTACAGTTTTCCTGAACTCTTGCTCTCTCTCTGTCTCTGAATAGGTTTCACTTCAAAATGCACTTTGAAATTTGTACAGCCACATTATAATCAGTTGTGTTAAGAAACAAACGTAGGAAGGGGCAATCCCCATTACACACGCCTATTTGGGTATAGCTTTGTCATAAGCTTAATTGTTCTTCACTATTTCAATGGAGAACATGCGGAACATTGTAACTCGATTCTTGTAATGTGGTCTTTCTGTGTAATTTATTCAACTAGGCCTTTATCGCTGAGGAAAGTTGTTTAATCGTCTGAATAACAAAAAGGCTAGTCGAAAAAGTGCAGAACGCGAGTGTAGAAAGGAAGATGAGAGCAAGAGAGATTCTTTCGTCTAAATTAAGAAGACTCTTCTTTTCTTTCGTTATATGCATTTCCTATCTGCTAGAAGTGAACGAAAAAACCACACTTTGTATTGGATAATATTTAGAACCAATAGGATTTTCTAAACATTAGTCTACTTATACAGCAAGTGCAAAGAAGTAAGAAAATTGTAAATATATATTTGCA